CAGCAAAAATCGAATGCTGGTGCAGATTGCACTTTAACACTGTTGTGTACAAATAGAAAACAGGTTGTGGATCAGTGCCATTATGTGCTTCCTTGCTCTAAGCTTGTCGTTAGGCAACAGGACTAGAGCTACGCATGATACTTACGGTCACAAACGTAATTACCGTATAACCTGTAATATTCACTCATGTGTCAATTCATGTGCAACCCAACCAGAGAAATATGAGAAAGGAGTCTGTCCCTCAGGTGAATCTCTTATCCCTGTCTGGAGTTATTTTATAGACTTGTGTTATTTTATAGACAATCATGACTGATTGTGTTTTTGCCAGTGTTAACTGTTCACTGATGATAAAATATCAATTGCTTAAATCTTTGACATTCCAATTTCTGCTCACATCAGTTTACCACCTCCATCTACCACTTAGACTACCCCTCAAAACCTGGCTTTGGTAATCATATGAGGGCGGAGTGGAAATTTTCCTCTGGATGTCCTGGATTTTTCCTTTGTATTGTTTCTTCTCCACATCTTTGCCATGTTTTTTTTTTTTAAACTCATTTATTACAGTTCTCAGTCTGGAAAGCACTCTGACAATTCCTCTGTTAAAAGGCCTATACAGACACACTTGATAGATTGATTGATTTGGTATGACATGTTTCAAGTGTGGATTTTAACCTTTTAACATCAAGTCTAAATTGTCAGGAGATTTATTCTTCAAGGCACTTATTACTGCTGAAGCGAGAAGAAGCACACCAGACGGTATATTTGCCACATTATGGCAACACTTATTACATATGAAACATATGTAATTGGACAATTGAAAACATAATGTATGCTGTGCTACACACTTACATGCACATTTGATACTTCTACTGTTGTGATACTCAAGCAGCATGTTTCCCGTAGCGTGGCGCCTGGTTAAGATTCAGTTTTTAATCGCCAACTGTGGCGGGCATCTGTCATTTCAGCTACAAGAGGAAGCTGAAGGCAGCCAAGGCCATGAACTCCGCGGCGATGGTGGCAACAGAGAACAGCAAGACCGGCCCCGTGGTGCCAGGCACCAATAAATACACTATGCAGTGAGTGTGCGCCCAGAGGGAGGGGAGCATGGGATTACCCTAAATATGTATTCAGACACACATTCACACATCCAGCTCTACCCTGTACTGCCCTGCATAAAATCAGCAGTCTTCCAAGGACATCTTAACATAGTGTGTAAAATTCTTAAGTGTTTAAGTACTGTACTCAAAAATAATGCTCTGTGGTTTCTTATTTCATGTCCCTCACTATGCAAGTTTTGTCTGTTTCTTGCTTTTGGATTGATTTTTTTAACATGCGCTCAGGTCTTAAGTGGGGTCATCAGAGTTGTGTTCAGAGCCAGTTCAATCTAGAGATGTGTTGTCCCCGTCAGGGCTAATCCTGTGCTGAATTTGAACATCGATACGACAGACCTGGGCTTTGATGAGGAGGACTCCAGTACAGACAGAGCGAGGTAAGATAGAGATGTCTTGTGAAAAAAAGCTTTGGCAAAATGCAATAACCATATACTATATTTTTTATACGCTTAGGAGACACCATTATCCTGACCTGAAATTTAAAGCACTGTTATCCATTTATTTATCTATTCCATCTTAGCCACGGGTACAACATTGCTACATTAATGATTTGAACCATCAAAGTTCTGGTTACAATTCCAGTTATTTTACCAGTGTGTCATACTTCTACCTCCCCAACACAAAATACTCAGTTTATTATTTTGTTTGTTACCAATAATTTAGTCTTGTGCATTTATCTTGAGAATTGATCCTAGCAAGAACCAAGATGTTGCTTGCAGCCTGTGTTCTGTTCAGCCCCTCCATATATTTCTATTACATTATGTACTGCTCATTTGTATTGCTTGTAGAAAACAATTCTGATGTACATTTTACTGGGGAAGTGGTACGTTAAGCATGTAAATGGAAAAATGTCTGTCAAAATGTTTTAATCAAGTCCTGGTCCGAGAGGGCTGTCTTCACAGTCTTTTTTATTGCACCTGAATTTACAAATCAAAACTATGGTCTAACCTATTTAATCACAGTCTAACCAGTTTCAACAGTGTTTGTGATTTGTGGAGATAGCTGGAAAAACCGAAGGATTATGATCCTCTAGGATCAGGACTTGGGAGCTTGTTACAGTGTAGAAGAGACCATATTGTTCTTTATTTCAGTTAGATAAATATCTAGACTAAAGTTTTTAATTTAACAATAGCTGTGCAATAATGTAGAACACTCTGTTTGTTTTTTTACCCAGTATCCCCTTCTCCACATGTACTAGCAGCCGACCTGTCAGAATCCCACAAATACATGTATCTGTTTACATATATTTGTACACCTTCATTAAATCCAACATTTCCTTTGATGTTGCTTCCATGCAACAAAATGTATTTTCTGCTAATTTTCTGCTAATAAGAAATCCTTTTGCTTTCGGTACATTGAGGTGAATACTATTGTTTTGTGTGATTCTGATGCCTCCCGGTTTCTGTTTTTAGCTTAAACTCCTTGGACTACAACATTGATATGAACGAGACTGAGAAAGACACAATGCCTATGATGGTAAATCACCTTCAAAGTTTCCATCTCAAACTAATCCAGCCCATTCTCCTGCTGTCCTCCTCTTCCCTGCTGTATGTGCATCTCACAGTGTCTAACACACCAGACCAGATCCTTCTGTTTTCTGTGCCTTTGTCATTGAAGAATCAAATCACTCAAATGAAGATTTCACGGTGGGAAAAACTCTCAACACTCAAAATGAGTCGGTCTAACACAACAAAACTGCCATACAACCTAAGTGTCTGTTGCAGAACTATTGTGAGACCCTTTGGAAACGTGAACCTTGATCCACAAAGGTGGCATACAAGAGTAATCAGTAAGTCTGATTCTGTGTTGGATGGACATCTGATTTTCTTCTTGTGTGCTGTGTGTGTGTGTGCGTGCGTGTGTGTGTGTGTGTCTGTGCTTTTGTGCACGTATTTCATCTGTGTGGTTATGCCCTGCCAGGTGATTCAGGAGGAGGATGAGGACGCCGACGAGAACGCTTACATCGAGCCGCTCCACGCAGCCCTGGCCGCACGCGGGGATGACACCCCACACAGCTTCGACAACCCCACCCTTGACACCACTGACCTTTGACCTCCATCCTGAGGAGATTGACCCAGCCCCCCACTTCCCTTAAAGAAAATAAATAACACACGCTCAGCATCGATGAACAGAATCAGGCTTTCAGAAAGAAAAAAGGCTTCACGATCGAATCTTGTCTCTAACCGCGTTTATCCCTCCGCAAGGATGAAAAACACTTCAGCCCTCCTCCCAGCTAACAAGCCTTCCATAACAGCACAGCAAAGCTGTGAGAACACAATGTGCAGAGGTAGAGGAGTACAGAAAAATATGCATATTTGTTCCGTGTTCCATCTGTAATGCACCAATCTGATAACGTGTGATGAGCAGGTGAGGACTGGCTGCTGTCCTAGAATGAACAATAGCCTCAGTAACCAAGTGTGAGTTTTGTGAAAATGTATCTATGTATGTCAAATATTTATTTCTGAAAGATAGCCATAAGATGAAACAGTAGTGAAAAAAATGTATGTTATGGAACCTAGTAATGGGCTTTAATTTGATAGGTTCTACTTGTACTGCCTTGATCATCTACAGAGGTAATTGTCATGTCACCAGCAGCTGAAATTATCTTAGTGACAGGGATGCGTTGAGAGGCTCTCCTGCATGAACGTGCAAACCTCAATAGTGAATTTTAAAAAAAGATTAACAAAAACAGAATGCTGATTTCAGAATATACAGGTTAATAATTTCATTTAAATATTTTAAATCATTGCATAAATATATTTACGTGCTTTACAAATTAGGCTTCTTGTAGTGTTCTTTAGCGTTTTTGCGGTTTGCTGTGCAATTTTACTATCATTTTTGTTTTAGTATAATTTATTGTTTAGCACTGGAAACATTTTTCTCCCATTTCCCATGAGGGTTTTAAGGGAAAGAATAGAATGATCTGTTCTCTGTCGATAGGACTCAGTCTTTCAGTGACTCTGGCTTTGTTGCTCCCCTCCCCAAGCTGAACTGTTCAGTATGACCAACAGAGTGGTACGGGCATATGTCACTGCTTTGGCACGTATCCCCGGCAATAAAGAGAAGGTCAGGAATTCTGACTGGAAAAAGGCAGTGAAAAGAGCAGAACACTGAGACCCGCTGGAAGAAAAAGGTCCTGGAGCCATAGATGTTATAATACATGATATATTACCAGCAGTGTAGTATAACTATGGAAACAAGCATGCCAGTAGAATTGGCTCTGTGGTATTGTGTTGACTCCTGATGCATGGTGCAATCTGAGTGTAATCTTTTTATTCATTTTGTTTCTTTCTGTTCTTTTTTTTAAACATTGCACTTTGTGTACAGGTAATAATAGGTAATGAGCTTGCATATATGGTAATTGTCAAATAAAATATTTTACTTTAACACTATAAATGCATTTTGGTGGATATTATAAATGCTACATTTTTGCTACATATGATTTTCATGAACAGTATTGTTGCTGCTCTGACATCGAGAAATAATATGTTGTTTTATTCAATAACTGTGTATTGAATTGCATTCAGTTCAAGATCAAATAAAAATATAAATCTGTAAACCTTTCACCTTTTGTCCAGCACATACATTGTGTTCGGCACATAGCAGCACTGGAGCTTCCGTAAGAATGTCCTGGCTGGAGCTAACCCCAATTAATATTTTCAAGCAAAATGCAGCCTCTATCCAAACCTTAATAGAACAGACAGATTCCTTCACCTCCAGCTGATAAAGTTTCCTAAAATATTTAATGTAATTGTAAATTTGGCCATATTTATGTCACAAACTTAGTGAACATCAAACAGTCAATTTATGCATGAGTGATTCTGAGTAATTGAACTTATGAATGGGAATGCTGAGATAGACAAGCCTTAGACACCATCTGCAATTATAGCTAGTGTGGCTGAGTGGTCTAAGATGCTGGATTAAAGCCACAGTGTTCTTGGAAACTAGGGTTTGAGTCCCCCCACTGCCACTTTTTTTTCAACCTGAATGGATACACTTATGTTCTATTGTGCTGGAAGTCGCTCTGGATAAGAGCGTCTGCTAAATGAATGTAATGTAATGTAATTTAATGTATTGCCAAATGGGAAAAGGAGAGAAGTGCTTTAAGAAGTGGGCAGAGGACACCTGTAATTATTTACTGGCAACAAAAATAAGTAAGAACAACAGTTAATGAAAGTATAAAAAACATTACCATTGAAAATGAGACAGAGGAGATGGGAAAAGGATGGAAAAGGAATTGGTGATTGGTCCTCTCTGAGTCACAAAGCATTAGTAATAAAATGGCACGGATATTAGATTTTTGTTTTTCTCACAATGGATGTAGGAGGATACCTTGCTGGAGAATCTCTTAACCAGAGGCACAGATCTGTTATTCTCCACTTTTGCGAGTCAGTAGGATGTGACACACTCGAACAAATGAGGTTCCGTGACTGTTTATTGGGCACAAACTGACAGGGCAAAATTTACACTTCAAAACAATATCCAAAATACCATTGAAAAAATCCAGAGACAAAAAGCAATAACAACTAAAGGCGGAACTGGATACACCTTCAAATGAATGAAACAGCGTGGCAAAGAATGCGTCACCATTTGTTAAACAAAAACTAGAGGCATAGATCATTAAATAAGAATCTCTTTACACAAACCAAAAGTAATGCTGAGACTTAATGCAAGCATTTGGAAAACAAAGACATCATCTCTATTGACACAAAGTATTTCGAATTTGTGAGGTCTTGAATAAACATTGAACCTCATATAAAGCACATGAACAAGTATATTTTCCAAATCAGCAAATAGTAAAGAGAAAATATATAGAACTTACAATATATGAAACACCAAAATATGACGAAATGCCTACAGCCTTTATCATGAAGGAAATTCAACAGCCAAGACTCGCTGAAGATGTGGCTTTAAGTTTTCATACCTACATGGCCCCTTGCCCCCAAATGCGCCTTACCTTAAATGCTAAAACAAAAAGCCCCAGTCACAGTCGTCAATGTCATATCAAAATGATACTGTGTTTTGAAAACAGGTACCATTACTTATCCTGTTCTGTCATGAAGACTACAGTAATCTGTGGCTATGTGCTGTACACAACCATGTCTGTGTTCCAACAGAGTCCAGCTGTTAAGAAAGAACCTGATAGTATTAACGTGGCATCATTCGATAATGTTAACACAGGAGAAGCAGTGGTCTGCCACCACTCGATGTCAGCATGGAAAAAAGGTGTCAGTCTTCTGTTACTTGATGATGCTAGTATGGGAAAGGATGAGAGAGGAGATATTAATCTGTTGTCTGTTGATGGTATGCAGGGGATTCCCCTGTCCCTTGACCAATTTCCCATTATGGATCTCTCAGTCTGGGTATGAAATCATTTTAATTGGTTAAAAAAAATCCATCCCTCTCCACATTAGGTGATGTGTGGTGAGACCCTCTGACACAAAATGGCTCCCATGCATCACCCCTGGTGGGTCCTACACATCATTAGCAGTTGAGATGCATTACCTCCTCTTGATAGTAAAGCGCTTTGAGATCCAAGACAGGCATTACATAAATGCAGTCTATTCACAAATTCTCAATACAGTCATCCCGATCATTGTTAGTGATATAGTCAGGCTTCATTCATTCGACTTAACATGGGAGCACTGTTGTTGTTCCAGTATCACTCGACGGCATCAGTGAGGAAAGAGTGTCTGTCTGCCCTCGGTTGGTGGTGTTAGCGTGGTGGAGGCTGAGGGGAGAGGCGCGGGTCCGCCGTCACTCGATGGTGTGAGCTCGGGAGCAGCAGCGGGGCCGGCGCATACTCCTCAGCACGGCGCGGAAGGGGTTCCGCCGGCGCCTCTTCTTCTTCTTCCCCTCCTGCTCTTCCCCGGTCGCGTCCTGCCCTTTGACTGAGCCGCTCCTACTGGGAGCTGAGGCGGTAGGAGGAGGGGGCGAAGGGGGAGGAGGAGAGGGCGGCGGCGGAGGCGGGGAGGGCGGGGGATCTGACGCGACGGCTGCGGCAGGGGTGGGGTCGGGAGGCGGGGAAACGGGCGGGGAAAGGGGCGGCGCTTCCTTGCCGTGGTCCTCGCTCTGCTTCTCGAGGTGCTTCTGGATGGCTGTGCCCAGAACCTCAACCTCCACAGCGGCCCCATACACCTCCCACGTCATACCTTTCTCGTCCCAGCGTACACCTTGTACCGCCTCCTGCTGGCCATCCTCTGCTGTTATTCTAGTGACCCCCTCAGCATCTGTGATCACTGCGTCCCCCTTTACCTCCGGTATCTCTGGGACCTCTTTTTGTTCTGTGGGCTTTTTAACTTCTGGGACCTCTGTTAGCATTGTGGGCTTTTTAACCTCTGGGACCTCTGTTAGCGCTGTGGGCTTTTTAACTTCTGGGACCTCTGTTAGCGCTGTGGGCTTCTTACCTTCTGGGACCTCTGTTAGCGCTGTGGGCTTTTTAACCTCTGGGACCTCTGTTAGCGCTGTGGGCTTTTTAACTTCTGGGACCTCTGTTAGTGCTGTGGGCTTCTTACCTTCTGGGACCTCTGTTAGTGCTGTGGGCTTTTTAACTTCTGGGACCTCTGTTAGCGCTGTGGGCTTTTTAACTTCTGGGACCTCTGTTAGCGCTGTGGGCTTTTTAACCTCTGGGACCTCAGTGACACCCTTATCCTCCGTAACTTTTATCTCAGGACAGGGGGACTCTGGGACTTTAGGGGTGAGGGGGATCATGGGCGATGTTGCGATTGATCTAAAGCTCGCCAGACCAGTCTCTGCGCTGTCTAGCCCGGCCTTCTTAAAGGAGTATGGGAAAAAGAAGGTGCCACAGCTCTCAGGAGGAGTCATGGGACTGGTGGCAGCCGAATGGCACATTGGAGCCTCCAGGCTGACCTGAGTCTGGATGTGCTGATGTCCGCTGATCGGGGGAGCAGGTGAGAGGACAGGGGACAGCAGACTTGCAGTCTCCTTTGATGGCTCCTCCAAAGATGCACCACGGGACTGACTTTTCAGATGTGGAGCTCCATCACTGCAGGCAAGAATCTCCACAGTCACCTGTCTGGTTTTCATTTGGTCAGACTGTCCCCTGTTGAATCTTCTGTGTTCTTGGGACAACTCTGCTGTGTTCACACTCTGGTTGACCTGAGTATCCTGTGTACCATTTACATTATCCTCACCTGAGGCATGACCAGGGCCAGCCATGTTTGAGGACTTTCCTGAAGACTCATTTAAGGACTTTTCTCTTTTACCCTTTTTGTTAATGGTTGCAGACTGTGGAGCGGTTTCTGCATCCTTGCTAAGCTCCTGGGTCACGCCCCTCTCATCCCTGTGAACATCCTGCACTGCCCCCTGCTGGTTGTTGCTTGTCATTACTAAGTTGACCCTCTGGGGCTCTGTGACTCCCTTGACATCCGTAATTTTGATCTCAGGGCAGGGGGACTCTGGGACAGTGGGCGTGAGTGGGCCAATGGGCGATGTGGCGATTGATCTAAAACTCACCAGATCGCTCATTTGCCCATCCTTGTTGACCATCAAGCTGGTGTCCGCGCCGTCGAGCCCTGCCTTCCTAAAGGAGTATGGGAAAAAGAAGGTGCCGCAGCCCTCCGGAGGCGTCATGGGGCTGGTGGCAGCTGAATGGCACATTGGGGCCTCCAGACTGACCTGAGTCTGGATGTGCTGATGTCCGCTGATCGGGGGAGCAGGCGAGAGGACAGGGGACAGGAGACCAGCAGTCTCCTTTGATGGCTCCTCCAGAGATGCACTGCGAGACTGTCCTTTAAAACTGAAAACATGGCAGGATTCTGCTGGTTGTTCAAAATGTTTTTGTTCAGAAGTCTCCTTTACTTCAGCGTTTGTCTCAGCCGGTTCTTTGTGGGTAGCTGAACCAGGAGTTTCTTTCATGTTCAAGTCATGTGGTGTTTGTGTGTCACTGGGTTCTGCAGCTTCCTGGTGAATTTCTGCATCTTGCTCGTGGCCCAAGTCATGACCCTCCACACGTGGTGTGTCTGTCTCAGGCTTAGTGGGATGAAACGTTGATGCTGTCTCTCTGGCACATTCTGTTTCAGTCAAGTGACTGGAGTCATGATTAGTCACCAATATCGTTGGTTCCTGATAGCTTGATTCCACACTCTTCATTGCTTCCTCATGTGTGCCATGCCCTGGCTCCTCTCCTTGAGCTTGATCACCCCCAGCTTTGTTCAAGGACTCATCTAACAACTCACTTGATGTGCGGTTGTTGACTGGCACTGTTGTTAAGCTGGAGTCCAGCTTTTCTGCACTCTCTTCTGTGATAAAATGGCCTGGGACTGCATCTGTATTGTCCCCAGACCATTTTCCATTCTGAGGGGCCTTTCCCCCATCGTCACCGTGTCCTCCTAGTGAATCGTTAGCTCCCAGTGACTGAGGGACATCGGTTTTCTGCTTCTCACCTACATCCGTGTGAGAAAATTCACCACTGGAGTTGACCTCACGCCTCATTTCTCCTTCAAGACAGTGGGGGTTGAGGTTTGGACCACTTTCGGTCACAGTGGGGCCCTCCATCTTTACCCCACCTGCAAGCGTTTCCTTGAGACCGCCTGTTAGATCTTTTAGGCTTCCCATTCACACGCCACAGCAGCCTTGGCAGAGGGGGTTCTTTTTAGACGTACAAAGACATTTACCTGCAAGACACATTCACAGGAAAGCACTGACACTTTTCTTGTAGCACTTCCTAGCAAGATAATATTTACCTTCATGTACTGCTGACATAACTGACAAATTGTATAATCGCAGCTACTGATCAAATCATACCAAAGTGACATCAAATGAGACTGAAAAGAGCAAGCACTGCAATGTGCAGAGATAGAGCAAGACGCTGACATCCGCCAGCAGTAGTAACAATGCCATGTTATGCAACAAAACAGAAAATCAAGGCACAAATCTAATGCCAAAATCAAGATTGGTTGAAAAGGATGATGAGATTCCTAATCAGTAGACTAATTGGCAGTTAATGAA